CTCTTCTGCCAATTTATAGTACACCCCGATAGCTTCCCAAACTTTTTAATAAGGTCTAACAGTGGTGGGACAGATTCCTCAGACCGTGAGAGAAACAAAGCTATGTCAGCATCTACTGCAAATTTCGTAGAAATCAATTTTTGTTTCACAGGACATGGATGCTCAGCATAAGAAGTTCATACTTGATGTTGTCTCTGGAAGCACTGAGCACAGAAAGTTACTGGATGAAGTTGTCGAGGAATTCTACAACCAGAACGGGGAAACGTTATCCAGTCGTGACCGGCACCAGTTTGTCAGTAAGTTAATGAAAAAAACAGGCATGAATTTTGTTTTACTCTTGATAAAAGAACATGTTTATAACACTCTGTTGCTCCTCAGTTATCTGTTACCTCGCCATATTCATGATTGAAGACATTGGGCTTCAGAGTTTTAGCAACATTGTCAAATCTCTGAACATCGAGAAGATGCACACAGTAAGTTTCTGAACACATCACTGTCCTTGAAGTTGAAAGACACAGCAATTAAAGCTCTGTTGTTTGTTTTGTTATAGTTCCTCTACTTCTTATTCACACGCCTCACCACAACTGCAAAGGAAGAGCGGAATGATATCTATGATGCTGCCTGTGTGGACGAACAGTGGATCGGTCCCCTGCTGAGGTAAAATAGGCCCGGGAGATCCTTCTCAGACTATTACATTATAAAAACAAGACATGACAGCATATGTTTGTTTGTCTTTTAGATGGCGCCCAGATGTGGTATTTCTCGCGGACCAGCTTGCTTTGAAAATGTCCTGTGAGAGTCAGGTAAAGAAAGCTCCGATCAAAACCACAAAGCCCCAGGAGTTATGTCTCACCGAACCCAAACCACAACCTCCTACGATGGCAAAGCTCATCCCAGAGCAGAAAAAATGCAAACCGGTCAGCCTCATTCAGTTATACACTGTATTTATTTCCAATATTGCTAATCAGTTAGTTTACATATGTACCGACTGCTGTTTTAGCCTGTAGATATTTTGCTGTAGATTCTGTAGGGGCTGATTCACTGAACTCATGAGGCTTTTGTTTTATAGGTACCAATCACCACACACAGAAGTCCAAAGGAGCTGAAGGTCATACAGCAGATAAAACAGAAGAACAATCAGAAGACTAAGGTACAGCGTCTGATTTTACTATTATCTCCAAAAAATACTCTGATAAAAGGCYAAAGATGGTCTGTTTAACAAATATATTATAATACAGGAAATGTAAACAGAGTGGGTAGGAGTAAATCAACAGCTCGTACATCCAACAGTTAGATAAAACACAGAGAAACATTAGAAAACATTAATAAATATATTCTATACCAATGCATGTGGGGTTTATGGTGTTTGGACAATTTCTAAATATACAAATATCCCAGTTTTACACAAATGCACTAATGTTTCTTCTGTTGTGTCAGCTGACACCCCCAAAACCCTGAAACGATAAACACAACCTGTCACAGTTATTAACAATTTATTTCAAGTATTGTATCAAGTTCTTATAATCACTTCTTATATGTTTTTATTACATGCATTTGTAATGACATCCTATCTGTTTTCCACAGGAACTGCTGAATGAGGCAAACATGAAACAGTTCAGATGTGGGAATCCACAGATGTCTGAACACACTAAGGTAGGGACTTTTTTCTGTGATTGATATGTTTTTCTCATTTTACCTCGCTGGAGGCTGGATTCAACCTTGATGTTAATCACACATTCACTTTTTACTTTGTATTGAGCCATTTTCACTGATCAGCTGTTGATGAACCATTATCTGTGTTGCAGCGAGCGATGGACCAGATCCAGAAAGACTTCGATTCAAAGCTCCAGTTCAGTTCACTTCCTCCCACTAAACCTCTGCCTAGTAATAAGGTGAGATCTGATTACTTCATCTGCTTCAAATTATCAATCTTTCATTGCTTATGTATATTAATATCATGTATATTAATATCTAATGTGTTKATTTTGCTGATGTTGTCAGAATATAAACATTCCCGTCAAGCCCAACAAAGCAGCCAAGATGAGGGAGACAGCTCTGCTTCAACGTAAGAAGAAGGAGGAGCTGCAAAGGTACAGCACTGTGTTTACATGCCACACATTGACCCACTTCTCAGCATTATCAGTATCCCAAAGTGGCARTGAAGGGCAAATGAAAACACCAAATGAGGAATGACAATGGCTAATCACAAAACARAACAACAAAAAGCAAAACAACGACAAATTTGTGGAATACAGGACTAGATGGTGAATGTCCCTTGTACATTTGAAGGTTCTCTGCACTATTTAAGTTACAAATAACCAGTAGATGTTAGCAGGTGTTGGAAGCCGCCAGTGGATGCTAGGGACATAACTTCCGTTGTGCGCCTTAGCATCATCAAGTGTTTAGGCATTGTAATCAATGATGTAATCAATGATGAAATCAACGCTCAGTAGATCAGATGTCATTACCTCTATGCCTTTTCAAACTAAACACTGTCCCATTTTAGAACATAGGAAAAGATGGAGTATATCCCTTTCCTGTTCAATCGCACTAAATAATGCCTACCACCAGTTGATGTTAGGGACATATCTTCCGTTGTATACCATAGTGTCATCAGGTGTTTCTGTGTTTTAATCAAAAGACACCCTCTTCTAAGGCAGGCCCACCACAGGCTGATCAGACCTGGGTGCTATCCCTAGCATCTTGGGGCCCAGTTTGGGATCCTTGCTCCAGATCCATAGCCATTAGATGCAGTATTCTGCAGTGTGTGATGTTTCTTTTATAGTCTGGTGCGGGGCATGTCTGTGCTGCTTCATCAACCACATCCTCCCAGGGTACTGTAAAATCTAAAGTGTAGATGGCGCGCAGGGTATTAGACCAGAGTATCAAGTCTGGTCTCATGGTGGTAGTGACAATATGTGATGGAACTGTAAGCCAGGCAGTGGAGGAGGCCCTCTCTGTCCCTTTTCCCCTTCATGGACAAATGTTGTCCTTTGAACTGCATTTGGTTTGGACGGCAAGGCTGGCTCATGTTATTATTTCTTCAAGTTTCCCTAGCAACTGTCTGGTGCATGTCACTGTTGTGGTCAGGGTTGTCATGACGTTCATGTACACCCTGATTGGTGTTAATTGGAACCCCGACTTTTGTCACTCACCACCTACCACCCATTTTGAAGCTCTGATAATCGCTTTCATCACCATGAAAGCTATGTAGCCAGATATGATGCCTATAGACGCTCATGTTATGTTGTTTGGCATGTTGCAGGAAAGAGATGGAGAAGGAGGCCAGCAAGGATATTAYGCAGAAAGACGCTGAACACAAGAGAGTTTTGGCTCTGCAGAAGAAGTCTAAGAAAGAACAGGAAGAGCTGCGAAGACTCAACCAAATCAAGAGCAGCAATGCCAAAACTGCTAAACATGGTATTGGTTCGAGCTGAAAACAAGCTGCTCTTCTCCTGAAAACTCTTCATGAATCTATAATATTTTAGAACAAATACATATTTTTCCACTTTTCTATTAGTGATAACTTTATTTTTTTGGCATTTTCTGCCASTGCAGATTATCTCATCACAGTTATCACTCTCCATCCATTTCTGCAGGTCTTTGTAAAATGGGATCAAACTATGGATCTCTTGTCAAGGAGGCGATTGTGTTGCTGGACAAGTTCAGTGAAGGCAAACAGACTTTGGATCAGTTCATAGAAGATGCTGCTAAAGATCTGCAGGTAGGTGGTTAGATCTGTGTTGTATCTTTTCATGTAACACCAATTTAAATTCGATTTTTTTCACCTTCATACTGTAAGGTTTTTCTTTGTTTTATCTATAGCTTTTTTGAGGGGTGGTGATACCCCCTCTGTTTACATTTCCTGTATTATAATATATTTGTTAAACAGACCATCTTTTGACTTTTATCAGAGTATTTTTTGGAGAGTATTCATAACTTTTCCAGAAAAAAAGACTGAACATTGAGGCGGTTATCAAACAAGAAAATGTTTTGCCCGCGATTCAAAGTTTATTTAGATTTACAAAGATATTTCTTTACCTATAAGAGTGTTTTCAGTATGTTTTGAAGTAAATATAGGAACCTTGACAGGTCACCCATTGACAGGGGAAATGTTCGCCAGTATTCATTATCACTCCTAAGTTTATCATAATTATATTGCTCAGTTTAAAAAAAAGGTCTCATTGCTTAGGAACAGTGGTCCCCAAGTACTTTACATGGTCAGTAATCTTCAACAGAAGATTACAGAGAAACTCTGGATTTACATCCTGACTGAGAGGCATACATTCACTCTTCTGCCAATTTATAGTACACCCCGATAGCTTCCCAAACTTTTTAATAAGGTCTAACAGTGGTGGGACAGATTCCTCAGACCGTGAGAGAAATAAAGCTATGTCAGCGTCTACTGCAAATTTAGTTTAAAATTCCATTTTTTTTTCACAGGACATGGATGCTCAGCATAAGAGGTTCATACTTGATGTTGTCTCTGGAAGCATTATGCGCAGAAAGTTACTGGACATAGTTGTCATCAATTTCTACAGCAAGAACGGGGGAACGTTATCCAGTCGTGACTGGCACCAGTTTGTCAGTAAGTTAATGAAATTAACAGGCATGAATTTTTGTTTTACTCTTGATAAAAGAACATGTTTATAACACTCTGTTGCTCCTCAGTTATCTGTTACCTCGCCATATTCCTGATTGAAGACATTGGGCTTCAGTGTTTTAGAGACATTGTCAAATCTCTGGACATCAAGGAGATATACACAGTAAGTTTCTGAACACATCACTGTCCTTGAAGTTGAAGACACAGCAATTAAAGCTCTGTTGTGTGTTTTGTTATAGTTCCTCAACTTCTTATTCACACGCCTCACCAGAAGTGCAAAGGAAGAGCGGAATGATATCTATGATGCTGCCTGTGTGGAGGAACAGTGGATCGGTCCCCTGCTGAGGTAAAATAGTCCTGGGAGATCCTTCTCAGACTATTACATTATAAAAACAAGACATGACAGCATATGTTTGTTTGTCCTTTAGATTGTTCCCCAATGTTGAATTTCTCGCGGACCCGCTTACTTTGAAAATGTCCTGTGAGAGTCAGGTCAAGAAAGCTCCGATCAAAACCACAAAGCCCCAGGAGTTATGTCTCACCGAACCCAAACCACAACCTCCTCCGATGGCAAAGCTCATCCCAGAGCAGAAAAAATGCAAACCGGTCAGCCTCATTCAGTTATACACTGTATTTAATTACAATACTGCTAATCAGTTAGTTTACATATGTACTGACTGCTGTTTTAGCCTGTGGATATTATGCTATAGATTCTGTAGGGGCTGATTCACTGAACTCATGAGGCTTTTGTTTTATAGGTACCAATCACCACATACAGAACTCCAAAGCAGCAGCAGATAAGACAGAAGAACTTGCGCCGCGCATATCTTCCCAAGTAGAGCTGCCGCCCTAACTAGGTGACAGAGGCTATGTGGTTTTTCTTCCACTTTCCACAATTCATTTATTTTATGGTTGGGTAATATTGCTCAAGTGTCATTACACACTACCGGATGGAGAATAAGACCCATGAATGGAAGAGAGATGAACCAAGCATGGGTAGGAGTTTCCGGTGGCTGCTTTGGACATCGAACGCAAGTGCTGAGACACACTGAAACAGTTTTGGACATCTTACCATTTTTGGCACTCATTTTCTCCAAGATGTTTTACTGACAAAGCTTTTTTGAATTGTGCTTTGAGACATCACTGACCCACTGTTTGTATTTTTTTTTTCCTATAAAAAAACAAATAAAAAAAAAAACCAACAGAAGACTAAGGTACAGTGTCTGATTATAAAGGCTGAGCACGTGAACTGGGGACCCAAAAGCACAACTGGTGGTCGTTTATTCCAGTCAAGGTTCATTATACAAAAAAATAATATACTAACTGAAACCAGGTACATGGGGGGGATTACACGAGGGCAGGAGTGAAGTTACCTAAAGGAAACAGACAAATGTGAGTATCAAAGTAAAACAGGAAGTGACATAAACAGGAAATACTGAGTGTGTGTGTGCATGTTTTTCTATGCCTTGTACTGTAGTCCTATA